ATCCCATATTTCACGCCATGAATACAGTCGAATACACTCGAATACAACAACTGATTAACTGGACTTCCCTGATTCACGCCTATTTTTGCTACTGTATTCATGAGTACAGTAACTTAAATACATCTAATATATCTTATAATAACAGAAAACGTATCTATAATCCGTAATATAGCAAATGATATTTATATATAGCTAATTACCATTAAAAGATAGTATTTTATGAAAATTTCTCTTAAACTTACCACCAGGCTAAGCTAACAACTTTTTCTGTTCTTCATGCATTTTGTTGCTCGTCTTATTGACAGTTTTAGGATTAGCAAGGGCGTGGGCCGGTTCCTGGACCGTGGTAAAAAGATATGGCCTGTTCCTGGAACGGACTGGTCTAGTTGACACCTTAATTTATTCCCTTTTTTGTTTTTATTGAGATGTTTTGAAATTTTACCCCACATGAAGAAATATGATATACACTGTGAATGACAAAAGCTATTGAAATTAACAAAAACTCTTGACTAAAGTTCATAGTTCATAATTCCTCTATCCCAATTTATGTAACAATTTGCGGATTTTGAGATTTAAACGAATTAATTTTGACCATAAATTCTATCATAAAATGTTTAAAAAAATTGGAACTAAAATTTACATATATGAAAATTATGTAAAAGGTACTATAATACATAATAATTACCATTCAAAACTTTCAAAGAACATATTAAAAGATTGAGGTCAAATAAAAACTCGTTTGACTCTCAAAATTCAAATACCGCCGTATAAATTGGGACAGAAGGAGAATTGTTTAAGTACAAACTTGTTTAGTAGTACTATTTTAATAGTGTATGTTTTATGAAGAAACTTTGTTGTTTTAAATTCAATTAATTCAAAATAATACATGGCTGATAACTCCAATTTGGCAATTTATATCAGATATTACTCAGCCAACGATTTCTTTTTGGTGGGGAAGTTTTAGTAGACAAATCGTTGTTACAAGCTTCATACTTGGTCACTGATAGGTTTATGACTCATGCATTCAACTACTGAATGTTAGAATGTAAAAGGTTAGCATCTTTTAAACCATTTTAATGCATAAATGATATTTTGTTATTTATTTATCAGTTTTATAAATTATTTATTTGATTAAAATTGGGTATTTAAAATTTAGCCTAAATTCCTACCCAAATTCGGACCTAACACTACCCAATACACTAGCCCAACACCCTTACACTAACCCACTTAGCCTTGGTCCAAGACAAATTAGCCCAACCCCATACCCGTTTAAACCACCCGACCCAGAACTCCTAAATCGTGGCCATTGATCCCTGAGATCAACGGTTCACGTTACACCCTCCTCTTTAACTACACCCAAGCCCCAAACCCTAATAATTTTTTACCACCCCGCCGCCCTGAAACCCTCTCATCTCTTGTCTCTTATGAACCTAGCTGCCGTCTCTCTTAACCCCTCCAAATTCGGCCCTAAAATGGAATCCACCATAGATTTTCTTACCTTA